CTAAGTTCGGTAACACCGATAAAATTTGAATTCAATCATAATTAACACCATTCTTTATTTAAAATCTTAACTTTAAGTCAATAGATTTTCATTTTTATATAGTGTTTTATTTTTTTATTTTTATTTAATGTAAGATTTAGACTTATACCTAAATTTTCAATAAAAAATTTAATTTATGATATAAAAATGATGTAATCTTATTTTCTAAATTAATTTTATAAAATTAAATTAGATTTAAAACTCCCCTTTTACCCCTTTTTATTTTATATAAATAACAAAATTGATAAGAATAAAAGTAGATTTTTTTAAGACGAAGTGTTCAAAGGATTTTGGATATAAAAATTCAGACTTTAAAGATAAAGAATAAACGGAATTAAAATTTGAATAAAAGATGTTGCAGTGCAAGTTTAACTAAAATGTATGTTTTTCATTTCATAACTGTCGACAAGAGTTTTTTTTTTCTATTGATTGAACACATGACAGCTCAGTGTTCTGAATTAACTGAGCTAAAAAGGTCAATTTAGCTTTTGAGATTTAAAAATTTTGTGATTATTGAGAGATGGAAGGGTAAGAAAATAAGAAAAATTGTTCATGTAATGAGTGAGTTTTGTTGGTTAAAAAGATAAAAAAAGTAAAAGAGTATTTGCATCCTTTAGTCGATTTAATGTACTTCATTCATAAAGTAGTAAGATTCTAATCCAAAGATTAAAGTTCTCTAAAATGCCTTCTTTCACCTTCAATCAATTCAATCCCTTCTTTCTTTGATTCCAAAAACAAAATAATTAAACAGTTTAAAACATCATTTAACACTTAAAAAAATTAACTATTTGTTTATAAATATTAAAGTTTTAAAATTAAAATGTATCAAAATTTAGAATATAAATAAATTTTAATTTTAAGAAAAACCAATTATAAAATGAAAACATTTATTAAGTTTCCAAAAAATAATCACAACTTCAATGTAAATAAAGTTAACGTTTTAGACAACTAATCTCAACGCAGACTACAAATACAATGAAGTAGAACCATTTCTTATGAAAAATCACCAATAAAAAATAAAGAAAAGAGTTATTTTAATCATAAAATTGTTTTGACCACATCCGGAATTGTTGACGAAGAATTAAAAATTATGAAAGACTTTCAAGCAAAAAAAGCTAGAAAAAAAATAATTAAATACAATATTTTAAAAACTCATTTACATTTGATCTTTTGCTATTAGATGTAAAAATACCATTTATGTGAAACCCTTAAGTCCCTTAGTATAAGTGAGACATTATTTCACTATAAGGATTAGAAAAAAAATATTAGTCTTATTTATAAGATGTGTGATTTTTTGTAATCAGATATAAACCATGTAACCTAATTAACCCATTTTTCCACTAGTGAACTTTGATTGTATATCGAATTTTGTATAATAACATTAATGTTAAATTATATACCAAAATAATATTATAATGTACCTGAATACTCGTACATATACAATATAAATTAATTTGAAAACAAAAAAGCTATTTTAAATAAATATATAAAAAATTTAATTTAGCAAATATTTTCCAAATAATATTATAATGATTTTTACTTGTAATTATCTCAAAATATAGCATAACACTATATAATAGTTTAATACGATAATAATATACTAGCTCAGTTCACAGAGAGTTTGGTAAAGTATTTAACATTTACAGTTATCCAAAATAACTATAAAATTTAAAACTTTACAGAGTAGCATAATTGGATACAACATAAAAGACATAGACCGAAAGGTTAAACATTGCTACTACATAAACCGATCGTTTTACAAAAGACACAAGAACCATATGGAACGAACGATCCATTAAAACCAGGTGCACCTATGAACCGAAGGGTCACTAACCTTAAGCTACAGGATCTTCTCCTTCCAATGCTTGCTCCACCAGCACTCGTCGCCTTCTGCTCACATCACACAGGATGATCATCGCAAGGGAAAAGAAAACAGAACGGACAAGACAAGATAGACCAGAAAGTAGGGTAAGCTAATGTAATTTAATTATAAAATGCATATATACGTTTAATACAAAAGCAATCCATAGAAACCGAACGGTATATCACACAAACACTGAGTACACTTATTCACATGCAAACCGAACACAATCATTCAATATATATATATAGATAATATATATATATATATATATATATACTATATAATATATATATATATATTATATATATATATATATATATATATATATATATATATATATTAACCAAACATTATGACTTGACCATCCGGATTGTAGGAATATGATAGCTACAGTCGTCCTTGCACTTGTGGTAGTGTAACAGCTGACACCAATCAAGCTACTCACCAAGGTTAATCCCATAATACCTACCTCGGCACCCTGAGGTGGTAGGACCTCCTGCCATTTTACACATGATTTACTCCTCTCTACTTGAGAATGAATAATCACATAATATCAGGATGAACGCCAGCTTAGACATATCCATATTCATACTTTACAATTACACAACATCCATTGAGAAAAAATTGTTCTTGACCCACTATCAAACATTAACAATTATGAGGTATTATTTAAATTCACTTGATCTATCTTGTTGCACTTATCGTCCAATCCTTTTTTGTTTTAATAAGTTGAAGACGCAATTATGGAAGATATGGTCCAAGAATGCGCACTCTTAAATAATTTGAGGTTGTAACTTTCCATGGAAAACATCATTATAATTTCTGATTGGATTGGGATAAGAGGTAGTGATTATTTTAAAGCTTTAGAGATTCTAATAGATGTTTTCTAGATAAGTTCAATGGATTATGAAAGAGAATAAGTGCAACAAGCTAAATAAATATATTATAAATAAATAAAAGGGTTTTAAAAAATATAAATTAAAAACGTTAAATTAGATAGAAAGGGATCAAGTGCATGTTAGCTGAAGTGTAAGGCACTACTTCTTACATCATTGATTCCATTGCCTTTAATGTAAGCTTCTCTTTTCTCTCTCCAAAGTCTTCCAATCTCAACCATTATTCACTCAACACTTATATATTTATAAACACTTTTTTTTAAGAAATATTAGAAGCACCTGAAATAAAAAGTGAATCTAATCAAATCAAATTAACATGTACACAAGATCCAATGCAATGAAAACTAATGAATACAACAGATTTGTCACTTCCCAACCTAGATTTTGCTGGAGGATGAGCATGCTTTTAATTGCAGACATGCACTTTGTGTAAGTCAGGCTATGCTTACTGATACATCTAAAGTGAAAAAGTGTCTAAAGTGATAAAGTAAGAGTGTATTTACTCAGTTTTAACTAGAAATACCTTATGATTACATGCTATTTCAATTCTAATCAAGAGTAGATAAACCACTTTATATACTTTTTCACTTGAGGGAAGTTGAATTCATCGTTTCTACACTGTTTGTTACTGTGTTAGAAACATTTAATCTGCTGCTAAGTTGGGTTACTGTGTTACACTGTTTTTTCCTATAACTCTATATAGGTTCTGTGCTCTTTGGTTCCTCTTACTTTGTATGTTTGCATATCATATAGGAGAAGTCAGAAATCATTGTACTTCTGAAGTTCAAAACATATTTCCAACTTTTATCAAAACATAGTGCAAAAGTAAGTTGGTCCATTTTATTTAAATGACCAAGAATGATAGTTTTGCTGGGATCAAAGGGTGACTGTTTGAAAATTAGAGAACAATTAGGATATAATGTTTCCTTTTCATGAGATCAAATACCATATTGCTTTACATATTTTCTCCACAGTGTGAATCCTCTTCCAGAATTTCTATATTGATTTCTAGTTCTTATTTTATTGCTTTTCATTTGCTGATATCCTGCAAAGAAATATGCTACTGTAGTCCCCTGCATTCCTTTTGCAGACTGTTTGTTGAATTTATCTTTGGAACTTAATCTGTGATATTAAGGAAATTAATGTTAAAATAAAGGTAAATATCTTTTTAAATCTTAATTTATGGTGTTTAGTTTGAGGTACGATCACCAATTTCATGTCAAACTGTTTCTCTGTTATTTTTCTTTTATTTTCAAACAACTTACTGAAACAGTGTTTTAGCTAAACAATCACTCTTAAAATTTCCCAAATCAAAGATTGGATTTTTCTGGTAATTTCTATATAATGCAAGTAGATGCATCTTTTTCAGCACAAAGGGCTAATGTAGTGGTATAGAAAATTGTATATTAAGCAGTTCATACTCTAATTTTTAATGAACAGTTTGGGGACCCCAGTGGTGTATCCTCCATCTATGATGAACAGAAACTCTCAAATAACACTAACAATACAAGATTTTATAGCTAAAATAATAGTAAATTACAATCCATTGATGAGTTGAGCATGCCATTTATATGATGTCATTGCCCATACATGTCGTGCAAGAGATATCTGTCCACCTAAACCACCCTGGATGGATGCACTTGCAAACCTAGTCATCATCATCATTGTATATATTGTTTACGTATAATACTGAACATTAATCTATATAATAATCCTTATTATATGACTCTATTCAGAGTATTCAATACCCTATTATCCAGCAATGATTTCCACTGTGAAATCAGAGAAATTTATGAATATCTTGTTAATCATTTGTCTAATTCCTTATATATATTAAAATCATATCACATGTAATCTCTTCCTAATAAATTTTTTCGAAAAAAAAGTCTACTTGTGATATGAAAGTCGATTGTGACCATAGTGGAAGAAACTCAGTTGTGTGGTATAGAAAAATTATACATACAATACCAGTATTTATTTCTTTTACATTTAATACAAGGTTTTTCTTAGAAAAGAATGATAGTAATGGTCTTAGAAAAAATGAATGGGAAAGTAGATGGATTGAAAAGGAAACTGAAGTGAAGCAGCTAATGCTAACTCACTCAAAGAGGGCCACGTGTGATGTGAGACATAATTGTAAGGGTGGCATTGATGGCTGTATTTGACCAAGCAAACTGATAGCAAAGGGTGCTCTTGTCATTTCAATAAAAAGAGTTGTCACCGAGCATCATATTAACACCAACCAATGCTTTCTGAGTAGTTTTTTCTTCACTGGAATAGCCTTGTCTTCTACTACACTCCCACATGCTTTGAGATTCTAGTTCACTGTGCTTTTCCAACCCTGCAATTTTCTCAAATCTTGGTAAGGAAATGGTATAATGTTCAAAATCTTCTCAAACTGAAGCCATTGGCTTCATAGTTTCCTTGAAAGTTTGCTTCTGGGTTTGTCTTCACTTATTTACAAGGGTTTGTGAAGTAAAGTATATTAAGCTCATACTTCTTGCCCTTGAACTTTAAGAAGTTCCAGTGTTTTAGCATTTCTGTTTTTTATGTCAGGATGTGAATGGATTTTACAGAAATGTATATCTCCCTTTTTCTAATCTTTATTTGATTCTTAACCAAATCATGCATTGAGAAGAGAACTTTAATTTCCAGTTCTAATCATGAGTTGATGTGCATTTTGTTGTTAACCTATGTGCTTATGATATAAATTATGATTTATGTATAGTGATAGCTTGATTAACCTTGCCTTGTATAGGTGAATATTGGCCAAAGAATATCTGTGTAACTTCATTAAACAACAAAAGGAAAGTACTTCCCGTTTGCTGTTTCTGCTTTTTGTGTTTTATACATCTGTTCTGACTGAAATTTAAAGCTTTCTTCTTTCAGCTCAGCCAAATTCAAAGTACTGAAATGAATTAATCAAGCAGAATCGGAAATTTTCTTCACAACATTATATTTTCATTAGATTTGGCTGAGGATTTTCCCTTAAATTCTGCAGTTGTTTCTAATGGCTAGCTTCATTCATGAAAACTAATTCAACCATATGTGGGGCCATGTACATTTTTCGCGTCTTATTTTTTACATTTTTATTGAAATCTGATGTTCATGTTTTGATAATCCCCTTTCCCTTTCCGAATAAACATGCCCTTCTCTTTTGTTTAATTCTGGAAATTTCAAAAGTATTTTTCTTTCTTTCTGGCGGAGAAAAATCTGTAATCTTTAGAATTGGTCAACTGTGATGTTTCTCGGAAATTCTCACTGATTGATCCCAGTTTGTTCTTCATTCTTTTGTGATAAAAAAAAAAAATAAGCAGATTGTTTGACTTGGTATGAGAGTCAAGTTGATAATACACGGTAGAAGAAGAAGAAGAAACAAAAAAGTAGACTAATGTAAACAGTGCGCTGACTCTAAACTCCTAATTTCTGTAGGACCTGAAAAAGTTGTCCTTAAATTCCGTTCCCATGAACTGAATATTTGAGCTGTAGCTTTCTCTCTGTTCTATTCATTGTATGTAAGTTGCAAGCTGCAACTGAATATGATAAAACTGATGCTGGGATATTTCCACGCAGACAGAAGATCATGTTAATAAGAAGAGAACCTGAACAATTCAGGGCCATATCTGTTATGTTGCAATGAGGATCAATTAACAGCTATCTCTAGGCCACTATTGTCCATTGTTCTGCTTCAAGGTACAATCTGAAAGAGATCACTTGAACTACTACAGCAGTTATAAATTATAATGCAGGCATCAGAGCAACATAGAAGTTCAAGCATGTACTATCAACCATTACAACAAATTGAAGCCTACTGCTTGCCGCAGTATGGGAACCTTAATCAACAGCTATATTACCATGGTGGAAGCCATGGAACTCACTTTTCAACTCCAAGTTCTTCTGAACTTTACTGTACATTGGAATCATCCTCTGTAGCTGGCAGTTTCACCCTTTACAACTCTCCTTCAACTGTTAGTTTCTCACCTAATGGTAGCCCCATATCACAGCATGACTCTCAGTCATATCCACCTGACCAGTATCATTCTCCTGAGAATGCCTATGGCTCTCCATTGAGTGGCTCCTGCATAACCGATGATTTAAGCAGCTTCAAGCACAAACTGAGAGAGTTGGAAAGTGTAATGCTTGGCCCTGACTCTGATAATCTTGATAGTTATGACAGTGCCATAAGCAATGGAAACAACTTTGCTTCACTTGAGATGGACAGCTGGAGACAAACAATGGTGGCAATTTCTAGCAAAAACCTGAAGCACATCCTTGTTGCATGTGCCAAAGCCATTGCAGACAATGATTTGCTTATGGCACAGTGGCTGATGGATGAACTAAGGCAGATGGTGTCAGTTTCTGGCGATCCAATTCAACGGTTGGGAGCATACATGCTGGAAGGACTTGTTGCACGATTGGCTGCTTCTGGGAGTTCGATATACAATGCTTTAAGATGCAAAGAACCAGAGAGTGCTGAGCTTCTCTCCTACATGCACATACTGTATGAGGTTTGCCCCTACTTCAAATTCGGGTACATGTCTGCAAATGGAGCCATTGCAGAAGCTATGAAAGATGAAGAAAGGGTGCACATAATCGATTTCCAAATCGGTCAAGGAAGCCAGTGGATAACTTTAATTCAGGCTTTTGCAGCTAGACCTGGAGGGCCACCCCACATTCGGATTACAGGTATTGATGACTCACAATCAGCTTATGCCCGCGGTGGTGGACTGCACATAGTGGGAAGGAGGTTATCAAAGCTTGCTGAGCATTTTAAGGTGCCGTTTGAATTTCATGCTGCAGCTATCTCTGGCTGTGATGTTCAACTACACAACCTTGGAGTTCGACCGGGGGAAGCTCTGGCTGTGAATTTTGCATTCATGCTACATCACATGCCAGATGAAAGTGTGAGTACACAGAATCACAGGGATAGGTTGTTGAGGTTGGTTAGGAGCCTATCGCCGAAGGTGGTGACACTTGTTGAGCAGGAATCTAACACAAACACTGCTGCATTCTTTCCTCGTTTCCTTGAAACTCTGGACTATTACACAGCAATGTTTGAGTCAATAGATGTTACTCTTCCTAGAATTCATAAAGAGAGAATCAATGTTGAGCAGCATTGTTTGGCAAGAGATTTGGTTAACATCATAGCTTGTGAAGGGGTTGAGAGGGTGGAACGGCATGAGGTGCTTGGGAAGTGGAGGTCAAGATTTGCAATGGCCGGTTTCACTCCTTACCCTTTGAGTTCACTGGTGAATGGTACCATCAAGAAATTGCTTGAGAACTACAGTAATAGATATAGACTTGAAGAGAGAGATGGAGCTCTGTATCTGGGTTGGATGAATAGAGATTTGGTTGCTTCTTGCGCATGGAAATGAGACATGGGTAATATGTGACTCCTGCAAGTTTGACAGGGTGCAAAGAAGAACCTATGCCTCTTCATTTTCTGTTCCATTACTGTAAAAGTTAATGAGAAAGTTGTCGACATTAAATCCAATCTAATAGTCTATTTTCTTTGTTTCAAGCATTTCCAAAGAAATTGTAGGTACAAATTTTCTCTTTAAGCAATATTAATCTGTCATTTCAAAATCTTTTCTGGCCCCTGAATTCTGAGCACCCCAATGGTTAAATAATATACTTAGACTTAGAATATTTTGAATTCTGAGCACCCCAATTGTAGAATATATCATAAGAGTGCCATTTTGAAGCTATGCTATCCTGTTATCAAACATTGTTGTCCATATAATTTATTACATGTTTTGCTTTAAGCGTTAGGATTAAATTAATAAAACAGCCCAGCTGCCTTCATTTAAGATAACTAGTTATTTACTGAAAGAAAAAACACAACTACGACAGAGTTTAAAATTTATCTTTATTCTGTGAGGAAGAGGGTAGGCAATGGGACTAAGATTAACTTTGCACAGTCACTCCTTTTATTGGTCCAGGGTCTGCGTATTAAAGGGGTTATGCGGGTGTGATCGTTGCTTTGGTGGACCAATATGAAGGAAAATTCTTGTGTCCTTCTACAGAAAGAATTTTCATTTTACAGGAAAAATACTATATCATTGAAAAGAGGATGTGGCTTTCATCATCAGGGGACCTCAACATTTGCAAGTGTCGCTTTGTGAAGGAAGAACGAATTTCTTGCAAGCTGACTTACTCGAACATAACTTGTAAAGGTGGACTTGACAAAATAATATCAGTGCCAAATACGAGAATTGCATAAATTCGAAAGGGTAAAGTGACATTATAAATATAGACAATTTTTTCAGGAAGGTTTTCTCTGGCTTGTAAGATGAAACTCTTTCTGTATTTTCAATTCAGTACCAAGAGAGGNAATTCTTGTGTCCTTCTACAGAAAGAATTTTCATTTTACAGGAAAAATACTATATCATTGAAAAGAGGATGTGGCTTTCATCATCAGGGGACCTCAACATTTGCAAGTGTCGCTTTGTGAAGGAAGAACGAATTTCTTGCAAGCTGACTTACTCGAACATAACTTGTAAAGGTGGACTTGACAAAATAATATCAGTGCCAAATACGAGAATTGCATAAATTCGAAAGGGTAAAGTGACATTATAAATATAGACAATTTTTTCAGGAAGGTTTTCTCTGGCTTGTAAGATGAAACTCTTTCTGTATTTTCAATTCAGTAGCAAGAGAGGTGAAAGTCAAAAAATAAAAATCATAAACGGATGTCTAAGAAGAAACCTTCTCATTATCTCCTAGACTTCAAGAATGAGCTTAAACGTAATGGAACCATAAACTTTTTTATCAGCCTCCAAAGTTGACACCAATTAGTCTTCTCGTTTACTTTGACAATGTATGAGAGGTTGACTCTTTATATATTCAGTTTCTAAGCTCCAAAACATATAATAATGTCTATTTCACCTTTCGATAAATGACAAAATACCAACCAATATCCTGTTCTATTCAGCTGTCATTGAACATGACATTAAAGAATGAATCTAAACCACTGCACCAACACTCACATTTTAGCGTATGTAATAGCTTCAGCTATATTCAACTACTAAAATTCTGCAATGCACTTCTAATTTACAACAAGAAAGGAGATTGAAGGATTAGTAGGTACAAAACAAGAATTACATCTGAATGACTGAGTATGCTCAACGATATATTAGAATTTTAGATACATGTGTACGAAAATGTAAATCTTATTTAACTCCAACAATAATGGTATACAAGTTTGATATCCAATGTAGTATTAATTGTAATTTGCATATTTAGTCAAACTGCTCAAAGACAATGAGAGAGCTAGAAGAAGAGTAAAGTGAAGGTTAGAGTAGAGATAGGAATTATAATCCCACAATATATCTGTCAAGCCTATGTCATAGTCAAATATTTATACTCTTCTGTAACCATCTGCAGCTTCAAAAATATTGCAAATTTAGCTTCGGACCGGTTCTGCATCAGCTGCTGATTGCTTATTAAATTCGCTTTCTGTACTGGAGGTATCATGAATGGCAACCTTGTTAAAGCAATCCTTAGTTCCTTCTGATAAAGGTTTTACCTCACATTTCAGCTGTTCATTGGATCTACACGGAACTCCAGAACTAGAATGGCATATAACATCATTGCTGACAGAATCGTCTTTAGTACCTGAGTTATCTTTTTGCTGTTGCTCACTTAATTTAATTTTAGGACCCTCATTAGAAAGACTGCTCACGCCAAACTCAACAATATCACCGACCTTTGACTTAGTAGTTGACTTGCCATTTAGTTGCTCTGTTAATTTGCTTGCTGAGCTCAAGCCAGTTTGTTCCCCTCTATTAACAGCAGTATCTTCAGATTTGGTTCCTGCCTTGCCATTCATGGTCGTTGTGTGAGTATTTGTAGCTGCATTATGAGTGACAGTCCTTCCAGGGGGGAGTTCATGATCATGTTGTCCCTCATAGGTAGTTATTACAATTTTTGAATCATGAGAGGCCCTTTCCACATGCTTTTTGACAGGGCATCCAGGATTTGAGCATCGATAATAACTTCTGCAGTGGAGAGAAAATCCAATCACATTAAATTAAAACATTTGTGAATGATGTGTCCATGTAAAGCTCAGAGCACAGAGGAATAGAGAGAGCACTTAAACACCTAAAAACCGTGCAACCTGAACGAGAAGAGGTAACTTGACAAGTTTAACCAGCTAGAGAAGAGGATGCAGTTTGACTGAAAGAGTTGTTATTCCCAATATACTAATTCAGAACAGGAGCTGTATTGATACAATTTCAATTGCTTTCTTTTTATCCTTAAGAAACACGATACTTGTAATAAAATTGTTCATCTATGTTCAAACATTCATGAGTTTTGCTTGCATTTCAAAATCAGGTTAGGACTGCTATATCATGGTTAAAACCATGATATTGAGACTACTGGTTCTGTGGACTAGAGATTAAAATCTTACAAAAAGTGCATGTGGAACATACTTTGGAAATAATATAGAAGAAAATACTATAACCACTTCCTGTTGCTTTCAAGCAGGCAAAGAATATCTNCGCCAAACTCAACAATATCACCGACCTTTGACTTAGTAGTTGACTTGCCATTTAGTTGCTCTGTTAATTTGCTTGCTGAGCTCAAGCCAGTTTGTTCCCCTCTATTAACAGCAGTATCTTCAGATTTGGTTCCTGCCTTGCCATTCATGGTCGTTGTGTGAGTATTTGTAGCTGCATTATGAGTGACAGTCCTTCCAGGGGGGAGTTCATGATCATGTTGTCCCTCATAGGTAGTTATTACAATTTTTGAATCATGAGAGGCCCTTTCCACATGCTTTTTGACAGGGCATCCAGGATTTGAGCATCGATAATAACTTCTGCAGTGGAGAGAAAATCCAATCACATTAAATTAAAACATTTGTGAATGATGTGTCCATGTAAAGCTCAGAGCACAGAGGAATAGAGAGAGCACTTAAACACCTAAAAACCGTGCAACCTGAACGAGAAGAGGTAACTTGACAAGTTTAACCAGCTAGAGAAGAGGATGCAGTTGGACTGAAAGAGTTGTTATTCCCAATATACTAATTCAGAACAGGAGCTGTATTGATACAATTTCAATTGCTTTCTTTTTATCCTTAAGAAACACGATACTTGTAATAAAATTGTTCATCTATGTTCAAACATTCATGAGTTTTGCTTGCATTTCAAAATCAGGTTAGGACTGCTATATCATGGTTAAAACCATGATATTGAGACTACTGGTTCTGTGGACTAGAGATTAAAATCTTACAAAAAGTGCATGTGGAACATACTTTGGAAATAATATAGAAGAAAATACTATAACCACTTCCTGTTGCTTTCAAGCAGGCAAAGAATATCTCAAAGAGATCATTACTCTATAGCTAATGAAATTAATTGGTGGCGACAAGGTTTCAGGCTAGCTCATCCAAGGCAAAATGAGATACTGTGGATCAATATAAGACACATTCTAACCCTTACAATAGCAGAAAATACGACTGTATTTGAAATGAAAATTTAACATGTACCTTGGGTTTGCATTCCCTTTAACTAGCTTCTGCCCATATTTGCGCCAGCGATACCCATCATTTACCAAATCAACCTCACTTGAAGTCTGAACAACAACACGAGATTCACGAGTTGACATGGTAATTCCAGTGGCATCAACATTACTATTGTCTTTCTTCCTGCATGATACCAATTTGGCATTAAAGGTTAGTCACGCATGCATATCAGCACATTTTAAAACATAGTGATAACAACGTACAGTCGCTTTGACTCAGGATCTTCGTTGTCATGAATCTGATTCTTTGCCTTAGACAATTGTAAATGTGCAGCTTTCAACTCATTAACTGGGGACACTTTTACAGTCGGAAAGGACTGTAAAGGCTTGATTTGTTGAGACGTGCATCCTTGCTCAACGGATGTTTTGTCTTCATGAATGATGTAATAAAATGCATTAAGATCTTTTCTATGAAAGCATATACTAAAGTACTAATAATGTTTACCGCTCACCTTTCACATTGGCTAACAAGGGTTTGCGTGCTGCTTGTTCAACAACCGGTAAAACACACTCAACTGATACTGTGGAGTTCAATTGAGGCCTAGGATGATTATGCTGTCCGATAGAAACACAATCTGTGATGTTCCCATTATTAGACTGCTGCAATTGCTTTTTTGCCTGGCAGTTTGGATATGTACACTTGTAATAGCTCCTTATAAATTCATTCCCCTTGACATGTTTCTGACCATATTTTCGCCAGTTATAGCCATCTTTAGATACCTTTTCACGTATTATAGAGGGACTTTCCTGACTGGATTGCAATGGAGGCAATTCATTCAAAAGAGTATCAGGGCTCTGCAAATGTTTCTCAGGTGGTAATGAGCACGTGCTTCCTTCTTGATCTGATTCCAGGGCACAGGCAGTAGCATCGGAGTCCTTCCCCTCTTCATTTTTAGCTACAGCAGAAGGAATACTTGTGGCTCCCTCTGGTTTGGACAGATCATTTTTAGTATCATGACCTTGAGACAATGTAACATCACTATCAGGACTCGCTCT